TTACATTTTTAAAAATTTCTTTGATGGTATTTCGTACCTTTCATGCGTTGTGAGTATATTTCCCTTTACCTAGTGGAGTATTGTTGTGATAGCTGCTTCAAAGTCCTTGCCTGAGAATTCCAACATCTTAGTCATGTCTGGGTTCATTAAGTAAATGTTCATTGTATCCTGAATATTGTAAATACTATGCTGTGACGGTCTGGATTCCATTAGATTCCTTGGATGAGCGTTGATGTTTGCATTTTTGCTGGTAATTACCGTGGCTAGTCTCCAACTACAAATATCTGGGAGGCAGTAGGAGTAGCTCAAATGTCAGGTCAGGCATATTAGCCTTATCTGCAAGCTGCGTTGAGTCAACCCAGTGCAGGCACAGTTTCATACCCTCTATCGGATATTTGGGAACAGTTTACACACGGAACATGGAGCTGCCATTCTCTGACTCTCTCTTTTCTGGGATGCCCCCCTCACTTTGGCAGCTGTGGCCACCCCCCAAGGTTCTGTCCTCTGACTTTTTAAGCCAGAAAGGTTGAAGTTTTCCATCAGGGCTTTGAGTGACCCGCATCACACTCTGTCCATGGCACAGCACTTCTGACTTTCCACTCCCATCCAAAATCCGCTTACCTTAGTTCACACTCGAGCTTTCAGGGAACTGCTTTTGTTTGTTTGGGTTTGGGGGTGGGGGAGTTGTTTTGCCGAGACTTTGTACATATTCCCTGCAGAGGAGTTGGTCTTAGGATATTTACTTTACCTTACCCTCCAACCTCAAATTTTGTACCCAAACTCCCAGTTAAGTGTGCAGTTAAAGTCATTTTCAAGTAAGCAATGTATCAAAAAAAAAAAAAAAAAATCTCCCAAACTCCTTTTATTGGAAAGCAACTCGAGAATGTCCTTTACCAAAAATGAGGCTTTATACCAAGCAACAGCCAAAAATATATCCAGGGGGTCTGGGATTTGGGCGACCCAACACAAGAATGAATCAGAAGGAATCCAGGGGACAGAGGTAATGGGACACAGGCGTAGAAAACACCAAACCCACGTTGTGCAGAAAAGAGCTGAAGTCTTCAGGAGCAATTTCTTCAGCATAAACTTGACAAAATCCCCAACATATTTGAAGATTTTGAAAAGAGATTTACATAATTAGGAAGTGTTTGGATTGGAATTACTGTTAAGTACATGGGAAATTAAACCAATAAACAAACAACAGAAAATGATTTTACCCTGGGGAAGACATAATGTATGGGAAGACAAAGTCATCATAATATACTACATGGTTTAGCTATGAATAGATATTACACAGTCGTGATGTAAACCCTGAGTGTTGATCTAGTCAGAATTATGATACAACTGTAAGCTGAGGTTGAAGTCCTGGGGGATGAAAGAAAAGACCTGAATTCGTGGTTGTCAACGAATTCAGGCGACTCTGACCTCCCAGTGGACATTTGGCAATGTCTAGAAACATCTGCAGGTGCCACATTTAGGAGGAAGGGGATATTGCTGGCATCCAGGGATACTGCCCCACATCCTATCATGTACACCCACAACAAAGAATTAATTGGTCCACATTTGCAACTGTGCCACTGTTCAGAAACCCTGGGATAAGCCATCATTTTCCACATCAGTGTGTCAGCAGACCACATCTACAATGTAAACACTGGGGCGCCTGGGTGGCTCACTTGGCTAAACGTCCAACTTCGGCCCAGGTCATGATCTCCTGATTCGTGAGTTCGAGCTCCGTGTAGGGCTCTGTGCTAACAGCTCAGAGCCTGGAGCCTGCCTCAGATTCTGTGTCTCCCTCTCTCTCTGCACCTTCCCCGCTCATGCTCTCTTTCTCTCAAAAATAGACATTTAACATTTTTTTTAAATAAATGAATAAAATAGAATGGAAACATCAAGTAGCAACCACATAAGCATGTTCAGAGACTCAGGAATAAATTAGAAAGAGTGAGCTGAAGGCTTTGGGAGTGACAGGTGGGGCCTGGGTGACGTCCTCTGGGTTTTGTAACCGGCCCTACAGAACGCCGTCTCTTTAAAGCGCATGCAAGTGTGAATTTTGTGTTCTGAGTGACAATTCATGTGGAAGAAGAGAATGATTGAGGAGAGTACGAAAGTGTGCAAAGGCAGCCTGACTTCCTGTTCTTCACAGAAGCTCTCTGAACCCTGGTGGATGCTAGCCCTGGGTTCTTGCCCTCTGCCAGGATGTAGCCGTGGTTTGCTCCCTCCTTAGATGGCTCCACGTCTGCATGGAAGGACGATGCCTGGAGGGGCATGTTACTCTGCCCTGCAGTTAACTGGATCCATGGCTTGTAACCCGTGTCTTTCTTCTGCAAGGCAGTCATCCCAGGAGGCTCAGCATTGGAGTTAACCTTCTGTAAATGTGGCAGGCGCTCGAGGCCCACACCGCCCCCTGGCGGCAGCATGCCAGAATTGCAGGCCCAGGTGTTCTGAGGGACACGGGAACCCCGTGGAAGTTCAAGACGCCAAGCTGGACATCTGAGGATCAGGCAGCATTTCACCCACTCAGCCTCTGAGGCTCCTGTCCCCACCCAAGCAGCCCAGAGCACCTGTCGTACGGCCGGTAGCTGATTGTGATGTCCCACTGTGGGTTAAACTGAATTTTGAGTTTGTTTAAAGGCTGGGAAATTCTATGGGGGCACCTGGGTGGCTCAGTCAGTTAAGCATCCAGCTTCAGCTCAGGTCATGGTCTTTCAGTTCGTGGGTTCGAACCCGGTGTCAGGCTCTGTGCTGACAGCCTGCTTCGGATTCTGTGCCTTCCTCTCTCTCTGCTCCTCCCCTACTCATGCACTGTCTCTCTCGTTCTCTCTCTCTCTCTCTCTTGAAAATAAACATTAAAAAAAATACATTAAAGGCTGGGGAATTCTAAAATGTTTATTTATCTTGAGAGAGAGAGGGAGGCAGAGAGAGAATCCCAAGCAGGCTCCCTGCTCTCAGCACAGAGCCCAGAGCCCAGAGCCCGACGCGAGGCTCGAGTTCGCAAACCATGAGGTCACGACCTGGTCTGAAATCACGAGTCGGACACTTAACCCGCTGAGCCACAGGCGCCCCTGAAGGCTGGGAAACCCCGAAGTGCGGCTTTGCTCCTCCTCTTCCTCTCTTCCGTGGCCCCCATGCTGGGAAGGAGAATGCAGCCAAGGGGCCCGTCCTGCCTTTAGTCCTGGTCTGCGGCTTCCAAGCTGAACCTGCTGCCTCGCGCCTTTGCCCGCTCTTCTCGGAGGACGCTTACAGGCATCACAGCACAAGCCACGTGGCACCCCCGTGCCCTTGCTGGCCGAGCGCTCACCCGCACACCGGTGGCTGATCCACAAAAGCCCGGAGCCACGCAGCCCGCTGCTTCGACCTTGATATGTTTCTTGCTTTGGGAGAAGGACTCTATCCAAACGTATTTACTTTGCAAAGCAGGATGGGAATTTAAGATGGGCCGTTTGAGGCGGGGCCCGGGGCACTGCCGGCACCCATCGTCCTGCAGCGGGGCTCCCCAGCCTGTGCCCGGGCCCCCAGCCCCCACCCGGCCCAGGACCCTGCCTCCTGTTCCCTGGGCCTGTTTTCTCGGGTGACACTCGGCACACCTGGGGTTACACCCGTTCACCGACTCATGTGTGGCCAGCCCCCCACAAGAACGTCCACTCCGGAGGCAGGGACGGGCTGCCCGCCAGGATCACCCCTCACCACCTGACTTTTTGTGGGTGCCCTGAGCAAAGTGGTGAACGAGGCAGTGAGTGCACAAGTCACTTCTCTGGTGTGTGGCGAGGAGAGAGGGAGAGGAGGGGCGTCAGCCGCGGTCCCGGGGCTTGCGTCCGTGTCTTTCTCGGGGCCGCAGAGACCGCGGGACCGCTGCCGCGTGTCTCCCCGAACACGAGTTCCCCTGTCTGGTGCTCCGAGGCCAGGAGGAGTGTACCTGTCGTCGGTGTGGGGACCCCAGTGCCCGGGTGTGAGGAGTCATCAGGCCTGTTAACTTCTCTGTTCGAGGCTCCCTTGCCCTTGATGGGTTTATAGGGAATCCCCAGCAGGAGAAAGTACCACAAAATGGGGACAGCGATGGCAGGGATGGGCGGGGCCTCGGGGGCTTCCCACCTGTTCTTTGCAGTGGGGGGAGGGGGCTTTTCTTTCTTGGAGGACGGCGCACAGGGCGATCTCGGGTTCACTCCCTTGCCCCTCGGTGCCCGGTGCTCACCCTGGGAGCTGTGGGGATGGCAGGTGCCCACGCCCCTCCCAGAGGGGTCCAGTTCAGTGAGCGTGAGGGGCAACGCCGGGCCAGAGACGTGGAGCCCCAATGCCCGAGAACCCCCCAAACTCCGGGAGGTGCAGAGTGCCCTCGGTGTCAGAGTTCAAGGCCCAGCCCCGGCTCTGCCTGCCGATGCCGTGGGGACAGACAGATGTGAAGGGGGAGGCGGGGGCCAGGAGCTCGGCGAACACCCGAGTGGCCGCGGTGGAGGCATCCTCCGGTGTCACTGGATGGGCAGGGCGGCGGACCTGTGGCCCTTAGCACCTCGTCCGCCAAGTTTCTGTGCCTTTTGCAGCGTCCCGGGCAGGAGCGGGGGAGGGAGGGAGCACCTGAAGGAAATGAGCCGTTTCAGTGGATGTGTGTTCCCCAAATCTGTGAAAAGCAATTAGTGTTTCCTCTTAAGTGTGACAATGGAAAGCTGTAGGGCCACAGCCTGGGACCCTGGAAATCTGTCTGGCTTTTCGCGCGTCACTGGTGGCCAAGAAATTCCTCCCGGGTTCAATGAGAATCAGCCCCGGCCGCCTGGCAGCTGGAAACGGCCCTGCACAGAGTGACAGGCACCCCCTCCACCACCAGGCCACAGTTAGCTGGCCTGCGGCCACCACAGAGCACCCCCTGGCCCCCCCAGAGCACTTGTGGTTCCAGAAGCCACCACGGTTTCCCTCTGTCCGTCTGCTGACCGGGCGGGGGACGGGGGGCAGGGGGCACTGTTCCCTTCCTCCCGCGCGGGCCCCTCACCCACAGCCCCTGTCTCCCGCAGGTGAACAAGGAGAACGTCGTGAAGGTCGGCCACCGGCAGGTGGTGAACATGATCCGCCAGGGAGGGAACCACCTCGTCCTCAAGGTGGTCACGGTGACCAGGAATCTCGACCCGGACGACACCGCCAGGAAGAAAGGTGCCCGCCCCGCCCCGCCCCCCTGCACCGCCCCCCACATCTCCTGCCCGGGGGGAGCGGCCCCCCCGAGAGGAGGAAAAGAAGCCAGACAGGGAGGTGAAGAGAGGACTCAGGAGCTCGGGCCTCAGGCAAGGCTGTGCTCAGCAGCCCTGGGTCCGGGGGGCACAGGCACACGTGTGAGGCCCGGGTCCTCGCTGTGACAGGGTGGGGGGCGGGGGGCGGCCGGCCAGGGGCTACAAGGCTGCCGGAACCACCAGGTCCGTTAGTCACCGCAGGCACGCGGCGGAAAGAGGGCCGGACTGGCTCCCCTCTGCGCGTTTCTGCTCCCTTGGGGAGGGCAGGGGTGCCAAGTGCCAGGTGTGCCTGGGGGGCTCAGTACAGAGCGCAGGGGCCCCCGCACAGGGCCTGTCCTGGTCCCAACCCCTCGCGGCCCGAGCGGAAGCTCAGCGGGTGACACGGCTGCTTCCCCACCTTGGGGGCTTGGGGCCGCCGGCCCCCAGGTTGTTCTGGAAGCCGGGTGGGGGCAGGGGCACATCAGGGCCAGGCTCTCACACCCGTGTCTCTCCCGCCTGCCCCTCAAGCCCCCCCGCCTCCCAAGCGCGCCCCGACCACGGCCCTCACCCTGCGCTCCAAGTCCATGACCTCGGAGCTGGAGGAGCTCGGTAAGAGTCGCCCGTCTGGCCCGCCCGGCCCCCCGCTGCCGCCACCCCCGGGACCTGTCCACGCTGCCTCAGCCCGTGCATGGCCCTGTGCCCGCTTGCTTGTCCCGTCCCCTGCCCCTGAACCCCTGGAACGGCATCAGGAGCCCTGCTTGCGGGCGGCTCCCACGCTGGCATGTCCGTGGGAGTCCTGCTGGCTTTGGGGGTGGTTGCTAGTCTTGCCTTTTGCTGTTTTCGGCTCGTCTAACATTGTTTTGTTTTGAATTTTTGGGCCTCTCACTAGTGGATAAAGGTAAGCCGCCCCACGGTGTCCCCCAAACAGCTCCCCTGCTGTCTCGGGCGCACCCCACCCCCCAAATCCACCTCACCACCCCCGCGTGCTGGACGCAGACCAGAAAGCTCCATCCCTGGGGTTTGGTGTAGATGGTGGTGGGGCCAGCAGGCCTGGAAGGGTGCGCACCAGGGGTAGGGGGCTCCTAGAATCTTCTAAAAGGTCTGAAAGGCACAGGAGAGCTCGAGCCACTGGCCCTATCAGAGAGACAGGGAAGGGTGTTCAGAGCAGCAAGGGCCCCAGGTCCAGGGCAGTGCTGGCTACTGAGAGGGAAGATTCTAGAGCTGGCGCGGGCCACCCGGATGCTGGCTAAATGTTGTGCTGGGACGTCACCCATGGGGCCCAGGGACACGCTTGGTAGGAGGCTGGCTCTTCCACACAGAAGTGGCGAGAGGGCCGATGTGCTTGCTCTGCGGAGAGCGTGGAGAGGGGCTGGCCGGGTGATGAAGGGCCAGCGTCTGGGCGCCCCGTGCAGCGCGGAAACCGGCCCTGAGCCCGGGACCCGCCCATCAGGCACAGCTGGCTCAGTGGGGGGAGTCTGAACTCCCCCCCGTCGGCGTTTAACTTGACGTCACTCCCACCTGACCCCAGCCTCCCGGGGAGACCTTCTGGACCCTCCCGGAACCCGTAGTTCCTCACGAGCCCCTTTTCTCCCAGCCACGTCCTGTCCGCCCGAACAAGGCTCTCCAGGAGAGCCCTGACTGTCCCCACGCACCTGGCGTGGCACCCGGTGGGGATGACCACAGAATTGCTGCACATCCTTTAAAACTGGGCAGCACGTGCTACACCGGCCCCTCCCCTGGGCCTTGGCGTCTCTCCCCCGTCTCTCCCCCGTGCGGGGACTCCGTGTTCCCCTTGTCACCCCGTGCCGCTTTGGCACAGTGCTGCGGGGACAGTGTCTCACCCGTGGCCAGGAAGCAGGTTTAGCAGCCGGTCATGTTGGAAGGGGAAGGTCACCCCATCACCAGGTTCCTGGGAGAGCCATAAACCCAGCCGTCTAGACACCCCACCCTTCCGCGTGTGGCCCGCGTGCGCCTCCGGTCAGCATTAGGTTTCCGGGCCCCCTAGCCAGGCCCCGGGGGAGCGCTGCCGTCATGGACTCACCCTCCCCTTTCTGTTTGCAAGCCTCCATCCGGAAGAAGAAGGGTAAGGGGCCAGCCCAGTGTCTGTTCCCAGCCCCTGCCCGCATACCCTATGGAAGAGACCCCCTCTGTGGCTGTCGGCGTGGCGTCTACACCGCCGTACCCTTGCGCTGTCTCCTCCCTGTGCCGGGGCCTACGGAGGGGCCCAGCTCCAGACCGCGTCCTGTCTCAGTCTGTCCCGTCTGCTTTGCTTTTCCCAGTGTGGTTCCTCTCTCACCCCCGACGTGTTGTGCGTCTCCCCCAGAGCTGTGTCCTCATCGTCATGACCATGAGGCCCGTGGGACCCTCAGGCTGTCACAGCTGGGCCCGCCCTACCCGCCGGCAGCCTCGAAGTTGCGTCCGGTCCACGGCCACACGCAGCAGGCAGCCGGGGTGCAGGCCGGCAGGGCCCCGACGCGGGGCGAGGGGCTGGTCCCCTGACTGCTAGCTGCCTGGGCCTTGGGGGCAGGGGCAGCATCCTCGAGCTCACAGAAAGCCCCTGGCTCTCACGCTCTCTGCCTGCGGGATAGCCGTCCTTAAGCTTGCGGGGACCCGGGAGCCGACTGGCACGGGGTGGGGGACGGTTTGCAGTGCTGTGAATAGCAGAGACACACGCGCCACGAGAGCCCCAACAACAGAGCCCCAGAACGATGCGGGCTCCTCCTTCAGCAGCATCCATATTTTGGGGTGTTTCTCACCTGACTGCTGGAGACAACGATCCCAATAGAAAGAAGCACAATAAACTCAAAACTCCTTCTGGGGGTCTGGGGGAGCGCGGCGTGGGCCCCATCACGGGAGCCTAGGCGCTGGCGCGGAGGCACAACGCGGTATTCTGAACACTGAAGTCGGGAGGTGGGTCTCAGAATCCATCAGCCGGTATCTGGGGGGGCCAGGACCGTGGGTCCTAGAGCATCAAGTCAGAGCACCTGCTCCTCCTCCCCGGCCTCCACCCGCCACCCCCAGGACCGCCCAGAAATTTTCCTGGGATTCCATGTCTCCCTGAAGTCCCCTTCAACCCAAGGCCAACACCCTGCTGCCCCAGGGACGACCCCTCTGTCTGCCACACCATCCTGAATAAGGCACCCCGGCGTGGGCTCCCAGGACTTCACTGCCGTAACAGAGCTGGCCGAGAAGGTCCCTTGTCAAGGGGGCGCCTCCAGCAGCCACCCTGGACCGTGTGAAAAGACAGGAGTCACAATCCTTGTGGCCAGCACGGGCACAGGAGACAGGGAGTCCTGGAGGGTGGAGATCCACCTGGCTTTGAACAGCAGAGAAAACTGGAGGCAATTTGAGACCAAATGCCCCTCCCCCACATTTCCTGACCCCAGCTGGTGCGGGAGACAGTGTGCACGCAAGACCCCAAAGTTGCCCCGTGGCCGTGGTCCACCCAGCTCCTGTGTGAGCAGTCCACGGGGCTGGGGAGATTGTGGGGTGCAGTGTGGCGCTCCAGCGGCCCACACTCACTGCGCAGTGAGGTAGTGGACAGTCCGGCCTCACAGAGCTTGGAGCATCGGACGCTGGTGGGCATGCAGAGAATGCTTCTGGCACACTGCCCCTGCCAGTCTCTTCCGGGGGACCGGTCTAAGCTCAGAACCTGCCAGTCTCTTCTAAGGGACCGGTCTAACCTCAGAACCTGCAGTCTCTTCCAGGGGACCGGTCTAAGCTCGGAACCTGCCAGTCTCTTCTAGGGGACCGGTCTAACCTCAGAACCTGCCAGTCTCTTCCGGGGGACCGGTCTAAGCTCGGAACCTGCCAGTCTCTTCTACGGGACCGGTCTAACCTCAGAACCTGCCATCTCTTCCGGGGGACCGGTCTAAGCTCAGAACCTGCCAGTCTCTTCTAGGGGACCAGTCTAACCTCAGAACCTGCCGTCTCTTCCGGGGGACCGGTCTAACCTCAGAAGTATTCCCCATGCTCCAGGGCCATGTGCAACAGGGGGAAAACAGGCTTTTACAACATACTGGTTGAATAGCATCCCCCCAAAAACCCACGTCCGGCTAGAACCTGAGAAAGGGACCTTATTTGGAAATAGGGCCTTTGCAAATGTGAGCCTGTTGAGGCTGCACTGTATCGGGGTGGACCCAGAGCCAATGATCATGACCTCACAAGAGAGGAAGAGATTCAGACACACGCAGAGGAGGGCACAGAGGCAGAGTTTGGAGGGACGCGGCCACAGCCCAGGAATGAACGCTTGGAGCCCCGGAACCTGGAAGAGGCAGGAAGGATCCTCCCCGGGAGCCTCCAGGAGGAGAAACATCCTACTGACACCTTGATTTGGGAATTCTGGCTTCCAGACTGACGGAGAACAAACTTCTTTTGTTCTGAACTGTTTGTGGTGGTTCTAGAAAACTGTCACACCAGTGAGATGGCCCCCAGCCCTGGCTCCCCCAGGCGACCCCAGTGCTGCCTGCACCCACAGGCCTGACCCTTGGAAGGTGTGAGATGCATCAGGGCCATCAGACCGGGAACAGCTCAAAGACCCCTCCCCGCGCCTCACGGCCTCCCGGGAAGACTAAGCCAGAAGTGGGCCAGCCGGCCACAGCCACTGCCTCCCCCGGGGCTGGAGCGTGGCCTCTGGTGCCATCGGTGTTTGCGTTTCCCTCATGCAAAGGAGATCCCACCGAGGTCTGGCTCGTGGAACGTGGGTTCCTGCCTTGGGAGGGCTCAGGGCGCACTGGCTGAAGCCTGCCAGTGGCCAAGGGTGAGCTCCTGGGCTGGGGGGGTTGGGGGGTGAGGGCTTGTGACGCTCTGGCTGTCCCTGCTCTGGTTCCCCGGGGGACCTAACCGCTCTTGCCAAATATGCCACCTCCCCTCCTATAACACGCTGCCCCCTCGCCAGGAAGCGGGCAGTTTATGGACGGGAGCATCACCCCAGTCCGTACGTTTGCTTAGAAAATGACAGCACGTGGCTGCTTCTAGAGGCTTCTCCTCAACTCCCTGCTAGGTGATTTTTAAGATGCGTCTGCGGGATTGTTCTCAGCCGCAGAGCACTTCATTTTAGGGCTGCAGGGGGCTGCGTTCGCTAATCCTCTTTATCCCCGAGCAGAGACCCAAACCCAGGCTCTTTTAAATGAAGCACAATAACCTGGAGACTCTAACAATGAGAAGTAGGACTCCAGCCTCACAGCTTTTCCTAAAAGCCTTCATGTTCTGGTAAACAGACCCTCAGAGGCGGGCGCAAGGCAGGAGGAGCCCCAGGTCTCCCATGCGGAAGCCACGGGCTGTCCGTGCTCCCATCTGAATCACACAAACCACACTTAATGGCTGTCACTGAAAGCAATCGTTCCCAGCCGTAACCCCCACAACCCAAGAACTCTGGTGTTCTGGTTCAAAAGAACATTTGGCTGGAGGTGGAAAGGCCAAGATTTAAAACAAGGACAAGGACAAGGAGGGGCGCCTGGGGGGCCCCGTCGGTTAAGCGTCCAACTTCAGCTCAGGTCACGATCTCGAGGTTCATGAGTCCGAGCCCTGCGTCGAGCCTGGAGCCTGCTTCGGATTCTGTGTCTCCCTCTCTCTGCCCCTCCCTCACTCATACTGTCTCCAAGATAAATGAACATTTAAAAAACTTTTTTTTAATAATAAATAAAACAAGGACGAGGACATCCACTCAAGGTGGCCACGACTCCAAGGCACACACTTCTGGGCACCCCCAGACCCGCCCCTCTCAGCACGGGGCGACTGGTGTGGACAGCGCCCTGACTTCTCAGCCGGCTGGAGCGGGCAGACCATCCCGATGCCCACCGCCCTTCAGGGCTCGGGACCCCTGGCCCAGGGTGGGGTGGGGATGCGGAGGCCGGCAGACCCCGGCGCGAGGCCCAGCTCCCACCCACCGGCTCGCCTGGTCACGGGTTTTTAGCCGCGTGACCTTCAACATCGCAGATCGGGACCGTTCCCCTCCCCAACGGCCAGAAAGGAGAGGAGGTGCTTAGGACTGCCACCAGGGACCACTGCTCCCGACACGGGGTCTTTGCCTCACCTGTGCCCGCCCATGACTGAAGGTGTATTTTTGGGGTGTCTGCCACGTGCCCTGGGGCTCCAAGATCACAGAGGGCTCCCTGCTTATTCTGGCTCGTGAAGAGAGCCCAGGTGGTACTCGGATACCGGGCAGCAGCCCCTCGGCCTGCTGGGAAATTAGAGTGAACCGCCCATCCGCTTGGAGGAAGGGGGTTAAAACCAAAGAAACGGCTCGAAACAGGAGACTGTCGAAGGTGCTGCTGGTTAGCTCTGCGTCACAGGAGAGCATCCTGCCCTGGGGCCCCCGCCCCGTACGGTGCCTCCCACGGGATGAGTGTTGGCCTCCAGTCGCTCTTTCTGTGGCTCGGTGGCACCCCCTCCACGTCCCGGAGGCCCGGCAGAGCCCCACTGAGTGGCATGCCCTGCGACCAAGGCCGGACCTGGAAAGACGGCCTGAGCCCGAGGACGGGCCCCCAGCCCCAAGGACACCCGACTCCCCGCAGCTCAAGCTGAAACGAGCCGACAGCCAGCACCAGGGGCCCAGCTTCCAGGGACAGGCCACGAAGACCAAGGAGGCCAGCCAAGCGCCACCTGAGCACGTCCGTGAGGGGACCCCGCGCCACAGTCAAGCCGAGCGAGGCCCGGCCGGAGGGGCAGGGTAGGGGTCCGGCACAGAAACAGGTTAAACCCCAGCCACCGAAGGAATCCCGGCCCAGATCGGAGGTGGGACGGCTCCCCAGAGGAAGCAGCTTTCCGGGACCGTGGGGTGTGCACAGCACAGCGGCAGGGACAGGGACAGGGACCCGGCAAAGGGAAGGAGCGGCAGCTGGTGGCCGGGTGGGGGTGAGTGGCGCCTCCCGGGGCCCTAAGCACGGCTGAGGACAGGACAGCTCCGTGGGCCGTGAGGAGGAAGGCGGGCTGGGGACACGGTGACCGTGGCTGCGAGTGGCCCAGAGACAGAGGTGTCTCTGACCGACTCCCTAAGGGGCTGATGCTCCCTAGCACGCATGACGAGGAGGACGTGCCCTTGCCCGACCAGTCCGGACCTCAGGGCAGGACACAGGGAGGGAGTGGGTCTTCTCTTCACGAGGGAGAGACGTGAATGCGCAT